AAATGTATAGGGCCCCATTCCTATATTTTGCCTGGGGCCCCCAATTCACTAAATCCGCCCCTGATTGGTGGTGGTGAAGTATTAGACATTAACACGTTATTAACGTCAACAGCCAAAAAAGTTTCACAGGATTATGAATGTGCCTGAAAGTGATGCACGGGCTTCGTTTTCACCTTTTTTTTTTCTTTTTCTTTTCTCTGCGCCGGATTGCTGATGTCTTTTCACGGGCATAGATGTCCATCCATCAATTATGATCATTTGCATTCAGCCGCAAACATGAGGTGCGAGTGGTCACGAGCGCGGATGGGGGAATGGCGCGTCAAAGTTTTTTTTTGTTTTTTTTTTAGCAATTGGGATGGTGCCCCCCTGGGAGTTGGTGCCCTACGCAAACTGCGTACTCTGCGTATAGGGAGCGGCGGTACTGCCAGTGGTCATCGAGGTGATGAGGTCTTCGCAGGGGATCTGTCTCTGGGGCGCATCTAGTTGACGTGGTCTCCGCTGACATTTAGGGCTCTAGAGGTTGTCTCAAGGTGCTGATCCACCATTTAATATGGTCGTACTTCCTGTTTCTACTAAGAACTTTAACTGCTTTTTGGACCAGCTGGAGTTTGTTTATTAAGCGTGCAGAGCAACCACCCAATAAAGCATTATAATAATCTAACCTTGAGGTCATGAAGGCATGTATTAACATTTCTGCATTTGACATTGAGAGCATAGGTCGTAATTTAGATATATTTTTAAGATGGAAAAATACGGTTTTACAAATGATATAAACATGGTTTTCAAAAGAAAGATTACTATCAAATAGCACACATGGGTTCCTAACTAATGATGAAGAATTAACAGAGCAGCCATCAAGTGTTAGAAAGTGTTTTAGGTCACTACATGCGGAAGTTTTTGGTCCATTAATTAAAACCTGTTTTTTTCCGAATTTAGCAGTAGGAAATTACTTGTCATCCAGTTTTTTTATATCAACTATGCATTCTTTTAGTTTTGCGAATTGGTATATTTCATCGGGCCGCGAACAAATATATATACAGTGCTGCTCGAAAGTTTGTGAACCCTTTAGAATTTTCTATATTTCTGCATAAATATGACTCAAAACATAATCAAAATTTCACACAAGTCGAAAGTAGACAAAGATAACCCAAAAAACAAATGAGACAAAAATATTTTCTTTGTCATTTATTTATTGAGAAAAATTATCCAGTGTTACATATCTGTGAGTGGCAAAAGTATGTGAATCTTTGCTTTCAGTATCTGGTGTGAACCCCTTTTGCAGCAATAACTGCAAGTAACATTTCTTGTAACTGCTGATCAGTCAGCACAATGGCTTGTAGGAATTTTAGCCCATTCCTCAGTACAGAACCACTTCAACTCTGTGATGTTGGTGGGTTTCCTCCTATGAACGGCTTGCTTTAGGTCCTTCCACAAAATTTCAATTGGATTAAGGTCCAGAATTTGACTCAGTCATTCCAAAACATTAACTTTGTTCTTCTTTAACCATTCTTTGGTAGAACGAATTGTGTGCTTGGGGTCATTGTCTTGCTGCATGACCCACTTTCTCTTGAGATTCAGTTCTCGAACAGATGTCCTGACATTTTCCCTCAGAATTTGCTGGTATAATTCAGAATTCATTGTTCCACCAATGATGGCAAGACATCCTGGACCAGATGCAGCCAAACAGGACCAAACCATGATACTATGGCCACCATGTTTCACAGATGGGATAAGGCTCTTATGCTGGAATGCAGTGTTTTCTTTCTCCAAACATAATGCTGATCATTTAAACAAAAATGTTCTATTTTGGTCTCATCCATCCAGAAAATATTTCTCTGGCTTGTCCCACATAATCTTTAGCAAACTGCAGATGTTCTTTTTAGAGAGCAGTGGCTTTCTTCGTGCGACTCTGCCATGGACACCATGGTTGTTCAGTGTTCTCCTGATGATGGGCTCATAAACATTTACATTAGCCAATGTGAGAAAGGCCTTTAGTTGCTTAGAAGTTAGCCTGCAGTCCTTTGAAACCTAGAGGACTTCTACACGTCTTGCTTTTAAAGTGAGCTTTGTTGGCGGACCACTCCAGGGGAGGGGTAACAGTGGTCTTGGATTTCCTCCGTTTGTACACAATCTGTCTGACTGTGGATTGGTGGAGTCAAAACCCTTTAGAGATGTTTTTGTAACCTTTTCTAGCCTGATGAGCAACAGCAACTATTTTTGATAGATAGAATGATAGATGATAGAATTTGATAGATCCCTGTTCTTTAAATAAAAC